TTAGGAGAATCAATTCCGTCATTGATGGTTAGTCTCTCCTAGTGATATCTTTTAACGATTTTAAGGTATGATATAAGGCAGACATTCCCAAACTTTTCTTTTTTGTGAACCCCCTTCCACATTTACCAGCTGCCTGCGTACTCCTACCAGCATACAGTTTATATTTTAATCCCTTAAATGCCAGTTATTATTATTATACAGACAATTAAATCTGCCATTATACAACTTCTCCCTCATACTCTCCAGAGATGTCTCGTGTACCCCAGGGTTATGCATACCAGTTTGGGAACCCTTGTTATAGGAAATCCCTGCCCAAGAACCATTTTTATTTTAAAGCAAATTAGCTTTAATGTTTGTATACATTATATAAGCACCTGTATTCATAAATCCAATAATCCTCTGCCCTATTAAAACTCAAAATTTGTAGGTAAAACAGTATACATAGTGTATAAAGCAAATGGACATTCAAACAGAATGTCCCGATTCAAAGAGATTATACTTAATGTCTATCTTTTACTAATTAAGGGTCTGATTCAGAAGGAGCTCTCTGAGGCAAGCTCTGGAAACTTAAGTATGTCTCTCTGTGAGGATATTAGTAAGTGAATATATATCTGACAGTTTACACACAGGTGTTTAAATCTTAACTCCAATGTTTCTGGATTTTTTTATACTATTTACTTTTTTAATCATAAAAATAATATTAGTTTCATCTAATTATCGTCTTTGCTCAATTCTTTTTTCAGTTTCTTTCAGTTAGTTAAACAATACTGAGATTTATAAAAAAAAATGTGCTACTTGGGAGTCTACCTGTTGTCTTTTAGCTGTAGAAGGCCTTGAGATTCCTATTAGAAAATCAACCTCATGGTGCCAATGGCTGAAAATACTGGGGAAAATAAAGCCCCACAGGAAAGAAGGTTATACCCCTGAGCCTTCTCTAGCTGCTTGATATTACTCCTTATCTGATTTACTGGCAAAGGATATACTGAAAGATATTTTGTCCATACAGGCATTAATTTTACACAGATTTATATAAACGGTTAATGGGGGAGTTTTTAAAGTAAGTTTTTTTTCACAATACCTTAATTCTTGTCAGAAATTATACATGAATTTCTCTCTCTTATAGAGTTCAGTACTGTTAAAATACTGAAAAACAATCCTGCTAGAAATACCATGGATATTTTACAGGTTGAAGGTAGTGTTTATTTTTTATGTTATTTCATCAGATTTTATACCTAACTAAATCCGTTAGTGGTTTACAATGTCTTCCATGAAGGAAAGATTGTGATTTGTCAGATGAGAAAAGCTGGGCTTCAATCCATCCCTATAACCATATTGCCAAGTCTATATTGTTTACATTGCGTCTCAATTAAGAGACAGGCAGGACACCTGGTACTTCTTTAGCTAAGTCCCACGGGCTGCCAGATGACTTAAAATCCTTAACAGGTGCTAAGGCAGTGTGAGCATAGCACCATTAATACAAGATGGAGTTGGATAAAATTTGGAATATGCTTACCCACTAACAACACTCAATTACTAAATGAAAAATGTAAGCAGTCTGTAGCGAGCTCCAACTCCTCTGCTTTAAAATTCACATAGACATCTTTTAAAGATGCATAGAATTATAAATTTAAGTCCACAAACTTCATCCTAAATCCTCAGTTTATCATTAAAAGTAATTAAACTTAAAATGACAGACAACATCACTTTTAGGACAGTTGTAGAAAACATTCAAATAAGAATGTTTAATACACTGAATGACAGAAATTTAAACATGTTTTTTTAATTTCAAAGTTAAAAGAATGATTACTGAATCAGCAACATTGAAGCAATGTTTCCATTCTTTAAAAATCTCCAGTAATTTACTTAAGTTCATAGGCAAATGGAAACATTTCTGCAAATTTAACAATTCAGGTGCCCAATTCAGTTTTAAGTACATTTTAAAACAAACCTAAGTGAAAAACTAAGAAGTAAGAAACATATTTCTGTCCTAAAGAAATACGTTATAGCTGACTTCTCAATACAGAGATATTTTAGATTAGCTAAAATAAGTAAAGCAAGCAAACAGTATCAGTATTAAAGTTCGATACTGATGGACAACTTTCTAAACAGAAAAAATGAATATCAGAAATTTTACAGTGGGCAATTACTTAAAAGCTATCTGTATCTAAATGTGCAGTAATCAAATTAAGTTTCTATTTAATATTGTAATTGTTGAGAACACAAAATAGTGATTTTATTACCAGAGTGAGCAGTAACAAAGTACAGTAAACTGTCATTGAAGACAGTGTCATAGTATCTATGATAAGTGGTGTATTGGTTTAAACTAATGCACTAAATGCCTCTAGGGAATGACAGGCTTAGAGACTGGTTTTTAACATGAAAATCTATCCATTACTCTTGACTTAAATATAATCTACTCTGCAGTAAGAGGAAGAATGGTCATTCAATGAATTCTCTCTTTGAAATATAGCTGGGGAATATTTATGCAAGCATTTAAATAGAAATTCTCAATTTTACTATGATTATACAGTGTATTTCTCATTCCATAAACCCTGAATAGTTGAGGAATCCCACTGTACCATTAAAATAAACAACCCACACTGGTATGCTAGTCACTGGATCTCTAAATCAGAGAAATCAATATCTGAAGTGTATAATGGACTACCAATTAAATTCATCACAGGAGAGGTTTAGAGACTAATGTTAGTGTTTACAAACACTTCACAAGCCCATGTTCTAGTAACAGACTATAATGGTGAAAACAAAACTGAGATAGAGTTAGACAAAAATAATAGGTCTGGGGTTGAAGTCCTTCCTTGGACAAAATTCCCATTTTGATTTCAGTGGAATGTAAGGACTTCAAGATGGGAATAAATGAGACTATAACATCTTGTGTGTTAATTTCTCTGAACATTATTAAAATCAGCACCACAGAAACTACTCTTTGGAGCTTACATTGATGAATGTACATAGGCTGCCTTTGTGCGCTGTAGCAGAGTGTTTATCAGCCAGGGACTGTTTCTGCTGAATCAAACTTACTGCATAAGTGAAAAGACCTGCACCCACTACATCCCCCCATAAAACGGTGCAGATTCAAAGGCAGAGGTGTGCTGCAGTCCCACTTCATGATTCCAGATATGGGGTGAGAATTTAATTTTCTCCAGCACTGTGTACTTTACCTGCTTAAGGTTAAATATTCAAACTTTACATTCTTGAAAGGAGCTCATGAGTTTTCCCCTTCTAAATTAAGTCTGTAGAGACTTTTGCTTGATGACAGTAGGACTGGATCACGACTTATTTAAAATGCCATTCTCTTTTTCACGGGCTACTTGGAAGCAAAACTGGCTATCCCGTGATACTAGCATGAACACAGAATTCAAATGATTCTACTCCATCAGAAGCATACATTTATCTTTTCCATGTATTTCTTGTGTACATAAAGATTTTGTTAGTATATATATTCACAAACAGGAGAAAAGATATTGGGAAAAAAAATTCTGTGAAGACACTGCTAAAAACTGTAAGACTACATAAAAATAGCTACAACTGAAATGCTGAGTAGAAAAAATCACATGCATGGTTTCTAATTTAATACTAAATGGAATAAGTAAACTACTTTAGAGAAAATAATTGTCACTAACTCCAAATTATATATTGACTGTATCTTCCAATATACTTTTAATTCTTCCAGAAGAAAGAAAAAATGTTTTTGAAGAAAGTACTTTTGCTTACATGCGCTTTTAAACTGCCAAGCTCATGTAAGGCATGTACCATTGCACCATTTCTGTTTGAGTTTTATTACTAAGGAAGAGAGGTCTTTGTGTTAAATATAAGGAAACAAATATTAATTCTCAGCTATTTTCCCCCCTCATTACTTTGAAAAGCAATTAGTAAAGCCACCCTTCACCCCTCCTCCCCATTGCTGTCAAGCTGTTGAGAGCAGTTTGCAACATTACAATGGTACTATTGTGAACACTGTCTGGGCTTCCTTCCCACAGAGAGTTAAATGGGCAGTTCCTGCTGCCCATGATTGGTGTCCAGTAAAACAATACTTAAGAGCCAGGCTTTATCAGTTCCACGCCAAAGAAGTGAAGCCAGGGAACCCAAGCCTTCATATCATGCTGAACCATATGCCAACCCTGCTGGCCCCAAAGGTTTATCACTAAGAATCAGGATCCATCATGTCCCCTGTGAAATTTCACTTCACATACCTTCTGTGAAATTCATGGCTTTGCTGAAAATTGAACCTTTTTCACAATTGGCAAGGACAGATGGATGGTAACTGTGGCTTGGCAAGCAGAAATTAAAAGATTTTTAATAACCTACATTCTTATATGTTTGAGAGGAGGAGCATTCAGAAGGAAATGGATATATCTGTGACCCACAGCTTTATTCAAATGCAATTAAACAGCAATTAAACTACTTTCTAAAGTCTCTAAAAAGTATATCGGCTAATTTATCAGCAGGGCCAAATTAGAATTTATTGTTTCTTAAGTACCTCAATTTCATCTAATAATGACTTTTAAATATTTGTTTTATATTGGGCGATTTTAGTTCCTACAATTTCTCAGATTTCTTGGAATATACATGTCTTTTAGTCTCTGTTGGTGCATGACAACGTGACTAACTCTTTTGATTATCATACGTGCAAAGATGCAGAAGATTTGTTAATATTTCATTCAACTCCTTTGAAATCATTATTTTTCCTCATGCAAAATTACAGTCTGTCAATTCTGATTGTAACAAATGAAAATTAAACAACAGTAGCACACAAATTAGCATATGCACACCCCGTGTGTACCCAATTAGGGTTTTTCCAGTATACTTTTACTTCAATCATATGCAAAGCCTTTCCTTTCTTACTCTTGCCCGGTGTTTGTGACCTGCAGAGGTTTAAAGAATAAAACAAAACAACCCCCTTGGTTTAATACCCTCATTTGCTTTGCTATAATATAAAAATAAACCTTGAATGATTTTTTAAAATTCTGATTTTTTCCTACTTTGTTCTTGATATTCCTGTTATGTCCAATCTTCCCAAATTTTGTTCAGGGACTTCTGGGAATTCAAAACCTTAAAGGGGTAAAAACACTATCAAAAGGCTTGTTATCCAAAATGTTTAATTAATTAATGAGGTTAAGTAAGTATGAACAAAAACTGACATTTCCTATTAGTGATAATGAGACCATACTCCATAAAACTGAATTAATCAATTTCATTCTTTATGTTAAGAAGAAAAACCTGTATTTGTTCTTAGCACTGCAAATACAATTAAAAATACCATTTCATAATTAAAGACTGATTACTACACTAAGTTTGAGAGTGCTATCTATAATTTCAGACTTCAAAAAAGTCTAACAGCAAGATTAACAGCTTGGTTATAAATGTGACCTCCCCTAAGATGAATTTTATGCCCTCACTACTATAATGACACCAGTAGTTGTGTGCAGGTCCTGGATAGCAACTGAATTTAGAAACTACCTCACTGCTTTTCAGGAAACTGCACAGACACTCTTAAAACAAAGTCAGAATTCTCCAGGCACAAAACAGTAAATAAATTGAAATATTTTGGGTCTGTGTAGTTGAACACAAATATGGAAAGACTATTATACACAAATATTCAAGGAACTAAATTACGTCTGAAATGTTCATTTTTCTATCTCAATCCATAAAATATTTAGATATAAACAATTTACAGTAGGTTTCCAGCAACTACATGAAAACATGCAAGTTCTCCATATTTTTCCTAAAAACAGAAATAACCAGTAGTGTCAGTAGACCACCTTGAGTGAGTTTTATAATACAGTTTATAAGTAGCAAATTATGTTAACAGAGTCAATCACTTTTACCTCATTTATGTTTTGCTCTTTCATTTCTTTCCAAAATGTCTCCTGTATTTGGATAGGAGAGCAGTGCTGATAGGAAAGCTGTTACTAATTTGAAAACCATTATTGACAACCTGTGTATTTGATGCTAAAACAGTTATATTAAACCAATGGTGGTCAAACTAATAAAAAGAAAAAAAAGGAACTTGTGAAAAACCTCATAATTGGGGATAATTTCAGCAATTTATTGTGAAATGCTTTTTCTGAAGTAAAAAAAGGTATGAAAAAAGAAAAAGTGAAATATTTATGGGTCTTTATTCAAAAATACAGTACATACACAGTAGCTAGATATTCACTTATCCAACTACAGCTCTTGCAGTTATCTGAAGTGTCTACATGACAAACACCAAGACAAGAATTTAAAAACCAATCATAGATGTTGGTTCAATTGGTGGTCTCTAGTGGCTAAAATCAAAGGCATTTAAAGTGATGCTTTGGAATTATTCATTGCAAAACAATCTTATTCTTTCAACAGGTAACTAATAAATGATGGCTGAGAACAAGCTTGCACTACCCCTAAGGTCCAATTGTTACTCAGAACACTGTCTACTCTTGCTCCCTAGTATTGCATTTTACCTCTAATTGCATGATCAAGCCAATAAATTGGACTCAAGGGACAAAAAACATTAGAAAAGTACCTACCCTGACAAAACCGGAGGTTGCAAGAAAATGCACTTCAAATACAAGCGAGACAAGACAAGACAAGCGAAGGAGAGGTATCAAAGCCTGAAAGACAGTCATCAATACTGACAGATTACTGTAATTCTGGCTGACAGGATGATCGATTTAAGCAGCATATGCCAATCAATACTCTCCTCATTTACTGAACAACATTAGATATGTAGTTAGATAAGATGTTCTCGAGATAAGACTCAAACTACGTTTAACAAACATGAATAGCACAATTTATGCTTTGGAATCTTCGAAGTTTTTTTTCATTATTATTGGAATAAACCAGCTGACACAGCAATGCAATTATCTATAAAACTATATCAATAAAATTCTGCATTTTTTTTGCATTCTCAGTCCTTAAAGGATTACTTTAATACCCTTAAGATGCTTTTCAAATGATCAAAATATCATATATAACGTCCTAAAATAAATTCTGGAAAGTAAGCATACATGATTTCTTATTAACTGAGTGTTTTTCTTTTTTTCATTTGCAAGAAATCTACAGTTGAATATTTGAGCTATCTTTGGTTTACAGAAGCCAAATTTCCCCTCATTCTTTCAGTATTTTTACACAATTCCCTTGTATAAAACAGTTGTGAAAATCTATTAAAAGTATATTAAATTAAACTAGCCAACTCATACAAAGAGGATATGAAATTTTATAAAACAATTTTAAATATAATCTGATCTGTTCTAATATTTAAGTAACATAATAATAAAAAAAAGAAAAAAGAATGCCTTGAAACTGGCATTAGAATAAGTCTTAGAAATCTTCATTTTTCAGGGTAGGTAGTTTTACTTGTGGAATATAAACATTCTACTTTGATTATTATTATTTACAGAAGATGAAGAGAGTTTTCAGTATAAATTTACTTCCGAACTAATTATGAAATCCTACCATGCCAATACGATTAAACAGAAAGTGCTTAACTTTTGTGATTCTTGCTTAGCCTCAGAAAGATATTTCTTCCATGGCACTATGAAAGGCATTTCCAACACATTCTACCTCCTTTCTGAGCACTCAGTTGGTAGGGCAACTGTTGGGATCACAATGGATAATTCTATATATGCCTAATTATCAAGGGGGAAAAATATTCCTCTAGAATACCAGCTTCTGAAATTTCCACTTTCTAGTATTGATACAAACAAAAATATTCATGCTGAATACTAAAATTACTTTTGTTATCTACTCCTATTCTTCTGCAGTGGAGGCAGAAACAGGGTCAGACCTTTTACCCCCAACCATTCATGCTCTAAACTAGAGCTGCAATTTGAAAACCAAGGCCAAATCTTGAAAGCTTTTCCAAAATAATGTGGGAATCCTAGAGGTATGCCAGTTTGAACAAACAGGAACAGTAAAACTTAATTAAGGGCAATAATATGAGGATGCAAATATCCTTGTCCCCTGTGGGGGCCAGAATGAAACTGTGGTAGCCGACAGACTCTTCTGTTGGTACCTACTTTTTGGGGGAGGGGAAGCAGAGCTTTGTGTTTGTTCCTTATGCCAGAAGGGAGCACAAAACCCTTGGTCACATTTTCTCCTTCCAGCCATTTTTCTAGATCTTACTGCTTTATGAAAATCTGTCATTTTTGTATTTTGTTCTCAAAATACACATCTTAGGAGTGACAAGATTAAAAAAAATAGGGTTATAGGAACCAGAAAAAGATAAAGATAAACATCTCTAATTCCTTTAATTTACTAATAAGGAAAATTAATCAACAGCTAAATAAGTTTATTTAGTAAATAAACTTCAGTTCACTATTCAAGCAACAATCTTAGGGTTATTTGTCAAATCTTCTGAACATTCACAAATCGAGACTGAAAACATAACAGATCAAAACAGAATTACCTTATCTGAATGAAAAATACCTGTTCCCCTGAACATTAATAGTCAGAACCTCCTCATTTCATGGTAACAATAATATTGTGTTAATAGTATATCAAGAAATTATATATGTAATATAAAAGTAACATGGAATTCTAGGCATGGGATGGCTCTTAAAGAGCTACTTTCTAGCAAAGTCCTCTCCTGAGCAGCTTAGCATAATATATCTGAAATAAATCAAACAATCTCCTTCTGCAATGTAAATTTAGAAATGTGTTCAGTCTTGAAGTGAAACCTCAAAATATTATTTCACAAAATAAGTGAAAAGCAAAAGAAAAATGTCTTGATATAGGGTAGGACAGTTTTTCCACTCCATTCCTTCATGAAGTGTTATGTAGACTAAATGTTTAGATATGTTTAAACTATCAGTGCTTCAAAAATATGTAAAGGCAGAAAGAAGGCATTATAAATGGAAAAACAAACAAAGAAAAATTATTTTCCTATTTAAACTACCCCAATTTTATACAGGCAGGAATGAATTATACCATCTCTTTTTCACTTTCTTTTTAATTTTATGCAGCGTCCGGATAGACATTATCCCACACCATAGAACTTCCACATATTTTGATTGATAATCATTCTCTCCTATCAAAGGCCTGTGAGAGCAGGATTACTGTACTTCAACACCAATACTGAAGTACTACCCATGTTAAATTGTTTTTAATTGTATCCATGTTATATGATGAAAGGCATATTTGTTCTTCAAAAATTCATTTTAAGTACTGCCTACAACTTGGGAACACATTTTATATTAACAGTTTTTCAAAGAATGTATTTTTCTTGAATTTAGTTCTGACAAATGTGTTTAGTATTTACTGTCAGTGAGGGAAAAGCCTCTTTATTTTAAGAGGATATTTGAGATATCTATTGGATAAATTATGTTCTATTTTTGCAACATAATTCATTAGTACTGCATTGCATTTTTGGTGGATGAGATTTATTTTATTATATTTGATGCAACACATTGGTTTACAACACTTTTGGGTTTCTAGACAAATACTTTTTATATTATTATTTACTAGAAGATTAATTAAGAGGTAAAATTATGATAAAGAAAAATAGCAATTTATGTTCCAGACATGTTAAAAAACTTCAAATATTTCAGATTTTAAAATATGTTGCCGGGGATCAAAATCTCTCTCAATTTTCTGTTTGTAAGGGCTGTACATTTTATTAGAAAGTTTGTTTTGGCAAATCATACATAAAACATAAAACGCATTTTTGACCTGCAAATAGCTGAGACTTCAAAAACTTTGTATTCTGAAATGTAATAGTCATTCAGGAACAACTAGAATTTCTTTACAGGTAACACTTCTGATAAAAATGTCTGCTACCCTTATTTTCCTTCCTTCTATCACCAAGTTTTAAAAACAATTATATGTAGTTTGGTCAAGAGAGGAATTTACTCTTTTTGAGGGCAAACATTATTCCTACTATAAATACTGTCATTCAGTTTACTTCTACTCTTTTGCCTTTGGTTAGAAAGCTTAAATACAGAGCCTAAGTTAAAAAAAATGTATTTTTCTTTCTGACATTTTATTTTTATGTATAATGAACTAAAGAATGTTCAAACTTTCTCTCATTTCTGCAAAATTAGATGATCAGTTCACTAAACTATAAGCCCAAAGATTTTAGACTTCTTGTTCTAATTCATAGGAACCATAGTGCTAAATGATATGGTGATGATATCTTGATTCCAATCTCCACCATCACTGCTGGCACTGGATGAGCTACACTAAGGTTGAGTCTCACAGTGTGAAAGAAGCCCGTGTATTTTCAAGACATCCCATCGAGAACACATAAGAGGAATGGGCAGATATTCCAGACTGACAGAGGTGGAGTACTGAGGGGAATGTAAACAGATTAGCTATGAGGGAAGGAAAATAGTCCTGCTGCCTTTACAGAAAGGCAGTGTAAGTAGTCCTATGTATTGTTTTCCATTGTGCATGTATGTGCCTGTTTCTGGGAACAGCTACTAGAGGAGCCTGTGAAACACTGTTAGAACTCTGAAGTGCAGCAGTGCTCAGCCTTTCGGCCCCACAGGCCAGATAAGCGGTGCAGGGTGTGTCCGTCAGCCAGACAGTCCATGCACTGGATTGTGGGCATGGCTCCACACTGAATTGAGTCCACTGCTCCAGCCCCACATATGATCCTGCCACATTAAACGATCCCTTCCAGTCCTACTTTTGTATGACTTCTATGATTTCATTTCCTACCCCTCCACTACCCATTTCCTCTTAATAATGTCCCAAAGTAAGGTCAAACCTGGAAGGAGAGAGTTCACTTTCTAGAAGGGCTTCACTTTGCATATAACTACAATGCGGACAGCTGTAGGGTTAGGTATAGGTATCATATAAGAGTGGGAAGGGTAGCTCACAAAGTTTGGGATAGTTGAAGGTAACCCTCAAAGTTGACCCTAACTATCCATGTAAATATACCGCTCTGTTTCTCCATCTATAAAAAAGGGAATACAAAAGTCACCTACGGGCTTAAGTTCATCTGACATGGAGTTCCCAGATCACTCGGTTATTCTGTCATGCCTTGCCTCCTCATGAGCAAAGCTAATCTAAATTTTTATTGTCCCACCAAAGTTCCCAGTAAATCACTGCTGCCCCAATTAAACCTGCAATTTCCAGATACATACACACACATAATTTCAGCTCCTGTTACTTTTATGTAGGGCCCCTCTTCTGCCGCAGTTGCTCCCTTACCAGACATGTAGCAGGCCCTTGTCTTACTATCTCCTTTACTCCACACCTAGGCACTCCGCTCCTTGTTGCTTTTAACCCTCTGGTAAGTAAAGAGTCCAAGCATGCCTATACACGTGCAGGGAGGCTGCTCTGATGCGCTGTAACAGGGGTGGGCAAAATACGGCCCATGGGCTGAATCCAGCCTGTCAGGACATTCCATCTGACCTGCGGGGCCCCTAAAAAATTTAGAAAATATTTATCTGCTCCTGGCTGCCTGTCAAAGATGACAGGAGCCAGGGGCAGTAGGACCCAGGGAAAGCCTCAGCAGGATGCAGAAGGCCAATCCCGCCCCACCAACCAGCCGCTTCCCTGCCTTCCTGCCTCCACACTGCTCCAGCATCACGTGGCTCCCAGCTGCATCGCTGGACCAGGGAGAATGGGGCCACGCTGGTACCCCAGGTGTGTGGATGTGTGTTCGTCGGGTGAGTTCCATATGCACACCCCACCATACACATGCAGCCAGACCCCGCTTTGCATGGCCATGCATGCAGACCCTTACACCCATTCACACACCTCAGCCACGCCCCCCCACACAGTCCCCCACAAACTCCATACCCATCCACACCCCACATATCCACACATACACCCACATGCTCCCTCCCTGACACCCACACTCCCATACCTATCCACCCCACAGACACACCCACACCCTCCCCCACAACTGTCCCTAGAGAGGTGCAGGGCCTGGGGCAAATCAGCCTGTGCAGGGCCCCCTTAACACCGTGCAGGGCCCATGGGACCCCAGCAAAGGCAGGGCATGGGATGGGGCAGCATTTCCCAATCTTTCCTGTCCCACGGCACACTTACATGGGTAAATGAATATCGTGGCACACCGGACATGGGGGGAGGGGTGGCGGCCAGAATTTTCAGCCCAAAAACACTTAAAGAAATTCTCACCACATGGGGCAGGGGGGCCAGAAAACCCTCAAATGCTACAGTCACCACCAAATGCCCAAAATAATTGCCTGTCCCTGCGCTATAATTACACCTCATCAGAGCAGACTCAGTTAATCAAGTCTGCTGGAGCATGGTAATTACTGTGCTCCGGCAGACTCCAGTGTCACATGTATCAGCATCCCCACGCTGAAAAATGGCAGTGGGGGTGCTTTAACTAAAGCTTGTTCAACAACCTTTAGATAAAGCACCCCTGCCTCTATTTTTCAGTGCAGGGATGCTGACATACATGCCACTCTGGATGCTTCAATGAGAGTGGCTCTTGGAGCTGCTCTAATTATAGTGTCCCCCACCCAGAGCACATATATAAACACCCCAACTGTTTCGTTCCTTTAAAAATGTACTAGCAATTTTTGGGCCACTTTCCCTCCTTTTTCACTTTTTCTCCACTACAGAAGCAGCAACATCTGCAGGGCTCTGTTCCTCTCTCACTGGCTCCATAGCTCAATTCATCAGGGGAAACAAATTTTTAATTAACACAGGTGAGTAAGTTTATAAAGAGAGCCAACACAGCTCTCTACACTTACAGTAGATACAACTTTTCATCTTTAAACAAACTACTGTAAGCAGCACCAAACACAACACACAGTCTAAGTACAGGCTGATAAGAATTCAGTCAGTAGCCACAGACAGAAACACACATGTAAGTGCTCCAAATTCCTCTCCAATTTGGAGGGAGAATGGAGAGCTGTGAGATGCCAGAAGACTGAGCAACTCCCTGTTTACCGGGGGCAGGCAATTATTTTGGGAAGAGGGCCTGCTTACTGAGTTTTGGCAAGCCATCAAGGGCCGCATAACAGGTAGCCCAGGGCAGATAAATATTAATTTTCTAAATTTTTTTAGGGGCCCTGCAGGTCAGATAGAATGGCCTGGCGGGCCGCATCCAGCCCCTGGGCCGCATTTTGCCCACTCCTGCTGTTTACCCATGCTTGAGCATGCAGATATAACTGAATCTTCTCCATAATGAAGTGCTTCGAAGAAATTGCTGTTTCATGCAGGGTCATTTATTGAGCTCCTCTGCCATTTTAGAGCACTTTATGTGGCGCCTTCAAGGTGTCTTTTGGCTTCTGAAGCATTTCAAAGGTGTCTGAAGTTCTTCAAATGTTACATCTGTCCAGTGTCATCAACTAGAAATTTAATCAGTTAAAAATGGTGCCAAGTAATCTGACATCCAATATGCCTCCTAGGTGATGGCATAGGTTCCTATAATCAACAGTATTACTACATAATAATATTGTACTGTTCTAATTATAAATTAACCTTTTCATCCCCTATGAAGAACATTAAAAAGTGCACTCTTATACTTGCGTTTGACCTATAATGGGCCCCCAACAATCTTGACTTTTTTTTTACTAGAAGTAAAATATGGTAAATCTAAGTAATACTGTCATAATATGGTGATTCTAAGTATTTAAAATGATAAGCATCAACATTTTAGTGACAACCACTGTATATAATAAAGGACACAGGGCAATTTGATTTAGGTAGGAAGCTACAGTGAGAAGCACAGTCTGTGACCACAACATAAGTTCCTGCAGGGTACAACTTTCAGGACTTGAATAATTTCTAAGCATGGAACTTCCAAGCTGGCAGGCTAAGTCTGTGGGATGTGCTATATGTGGAGTACTATTCACAAAAGCTGTAATATACTGCTATAAATAAAAATATTGGTATAAATTTGTTAGTTCAAGGGTAATTATTTTTTTTCAGTGGTACCCTCAGGATGATTCAGTATACTGCTCCAGTACGAGCTCTTTTTTGAAACCTAATTACTGTGGCACATTTGGAATTCCTTAGTCAGCCATTTTGAATAGGAGGAAGAAAGGTTACTCCTTTCCAAAAGTTAAATAATGATGCATTTTACACAAAAAGTTTGAAGAAAAGCCATAAAACACAATCAACCTGATGTACCACCATGCATCTATAAACACATTTATCTTATCAGATGTAAGAATAAAAGCAAAACTACTCAAGTACTAAAAAAACAATTTGTGAAAAGACACCTTATTGACAGACACAAGGTAATAAATCTACACGAGATACAAAATAACCTACAGATTTAAAAAGTTCTTAATTTAACCTCTTTTGTTTATTTAAACTAAATTAACAACATAAATTTACCAGTTCAAAAACAAAAAAAGTCTAAGTTAATCTTAGGAAGGGGAGAGATACAGAAGAAAAAAATAATCAAATAATTTACTACTGTATTTACTTGAATGCAGGGGAGATCTTTTTTCCTCATTCAACATCTTGGAAAAATAAGCATTATCATGGCTTTGAGTACACATATCTCAGATCTGAGTACACATGGCCTGGGGCAGTTGGCGACACTATTTAGTTACTGCACTATACAATAATAGGATGAATTTCTAGTTATTGATTGCTTGAGCCATGACCCAGGCTTGGGGCTGGAGCTGCTGGCATCACTGTTGCCTGGCCGCAAGTGATAGGGGGCTGCATGATCCGGGGACAGCAGGGCAGACCCTACAATGAGAGGCTACGGGACCTGAACCTGTTCGGCCTTCACAAGAGAAAGCTGAGGGGGGACCTTGTGACCGTCTATAAACTCACTAGGGGGGCCCAGACGGGTTTGGGGGAGACCTTGTTTCCCCCAGCACCCCCCGGGATAACAAGGAATAACGGCCACAAGTTGTTGGAGAGTAGGTTTAGATTAGACATCCGTAAGAACTACTTCACAGTTAGGGCGGCTAGGATCTGTAACCAGCTTCCAAGGGAAGTGGTGCTGGCTCCTACTCTGGAGGTCTTTAAGAAGCGGCTCGATGCCTACCTGGCTGGGGTCACTTGAGCCCAGTTTCCCTCCTGCCCAGGCAGGGGGTCGGACTTGAAGATCTACAAGGTCCCTTCCGACCCTACTTCTATGATTCTATAATAGTGGAGTGGGAGACAGGCAAGTACCAGGGGAGGAGAAGACATGCAGCAGGAGAGGCAGGGGACAGGGTGCTGTGCTACCCACCTCTCCCCAGCTTGCCTCCCCCGCCACATGATCCTCTACCACTGTAGCAGTGGAAAGGACAAATACAAAATGACTCTCCAATCATTAGATTCTGTACACGGAAAATTACAACCCATCCTGGCCTTGGGTAAAAACACTATGTAAGGCTATAAATGGATTTCAGTATGTACCTACATTGCAATTTTGGTTTTTTTTAAACAGACTAAAAGCCTCATGCTTTTATTTTCACTACTTATTGTTTTGTTATCCTGTTTTCCTGCTTGTTCAGAAGTTTAGAGCAATATTAACTAACTTCCAAAGGGATAAAGTGATAATCGCTTGTTAAGAGTTCTTTACAGAGACATCCCCAGGTTACTTGGATGATAGCCCTGAGTCATCTGAAGCACGCATCTAATTAGCATTAAGCCAAAAATGTAATTTTCTTTTTTTTTTGGAAATAAAATCCCTTTGGAGCTAAAAACAAAAGTATGGCATATTAACAGTGGACAAATATTTATGTGCACGAAAGGAAAGAGCTGCTAATTAAATTGTGAAACTGCTATTTTGGAAACAAGCTGTATATATAATAGAAATTGAAAAAAAATGTTTAATAATAAGAAAAGGGTTGTTTCTAGTATTTGATTAAATCTGGTCTCTACTTATTAGCAAAAGTGGTCTTTTGGGTAAATTCTAAAACAATAACATTTCTAAAAATATTTTAAAATATATTAAAAGCTAAAATGATAGAAAAAATACCATGCCAATAAAAACAAAAACAGAATACTTTCAGTACTGTAAAGTCAATCTACTGAAGGAACTACCAGTAAAAAGGATACAAGTTTTGATATAATGGGATCAGCGATTTCAGTGCTCGGCTTGCATTTATAGCTGTTGCACGAACCATAATAGGAAGAATTTTTCCGTTCACAATAGCACCATCGAAAAGTGGACCAAAGAAGGGAACCTGAATCAGAAATTAAGAAATTCAACCCTAAGTCAAACCTTTTTTTATAACAATTAGCAATCAGCATTAACAATAGAGTGCTCAAATAGTTCATTTTTCTCCTTATCTCCAGTTAATCAGAACAGTTATTCAAGTATATTCTATGATGGACCTTTTCTCTTATGGAAACATAACAGCAAGATAATCTTGGTAACAGATAAAAATGAGTGTGCACAAAAATTAAATATCCATTTGAAGACTGCATCTCATCAAGGCTTATTTTCATCATTTTCTGTCAGAAACCTAACGGTAATCATATATGTGACATTTATGAAGTTCAAAGGCTAAATGAGAACACTGTGGGTAAGAATATACTACAGAAAAATGATTAATCAGCTTAAAAACTGTCACAACTTTAGGTGCAGCATGCATATATATTATATGGGACCATCTATGGTAAATAGATATAAACCAGTCATGTAATCCTTACTTTACCCACATCTGGTTGTTTTCCTTGTCACTTACATCATATCTACAACTAGACCGTAAGCAATTTGTGGCAGAAGTCGTGGGGTGAAATCTTGGCCCAACTAAAGTTACTAGGATCTTTGCTGCTGACTCAAGTATGTATGGTATGGATAAACATATACCTGCAGTGGCTTCAAAAGGGGAGGGAGAGTTGCTGTTCAGGAGCAGCAGTTTCAGCTTACACTTTGAAGCTACTACTGTGTAGTTTGTCCATTTGTATATGTTTGTCTATACCTACAGTGCACTTTGGGAATTGAGTCCACAAAATATAAAATCAGTTGGAACACGTACTACTTACACTTTAAACCAGCCCAAAATAGTAATTACAGGCAGGTGAGCCAGACCCAGTTTTTTCATGTTTCCCTTCACTGCAATGATAGAATTTCATTCAAAACCCATGGATGCCAAATCTTGCATATGCTGCATTGACAATCAAGTACCAGATGTATCTGCAAAGTCTGGCTTTGTGTGCATAATCTTACAAACCCAGTTGTGAAGCAGGGTGAGACCAGCAGAAAAATGTGGCTACTAATATAGCAAGGCTGAACTATTGTTGTAGGCATGATTGTCCAGGAAATGTACAGGAGGCAAGGTCTTTTTGGGGATCACTTATTGGACTAACTGTATACTAGGGAGATGTTAGGATGTTGGACAAGTTTTTGGGCATAAGGTGCCCTTCTACTGATACACATATTTTCCCAAAAAGTTAAGTGTATCTGGTTCCAATACATGGATTTTACAATTTTCACTGACCAATCATCATCCTGGTTTCCTTCAACACTTTAGAACTGGTGTCTGTGGATTACTGGTCATCTGCAATATACCTCCTAGTGTTCCACGGGGCTCTAGCTCCTTACAAGATTCCAGGTCTCTCTCTTGTTTCTAGCTGCCAAATTTTCATTTTAAAAAGTAAAATAGCATTTTCAGATGTTAGACAGGTACCAAATACCTTCTTTTCCCATGTATGTGCATATAAACAGTTGATATAGGTACTCCCACAAGGGTTATATACTAGCAAAGGTGTTCCCTAAGATCGTGAATATTAGAGGAGGATCCCACCAGACAATTGCTCTGCTAAGATGTGATCCTTTCCATGAAAGGAAAGTTTAAGAACCCCTGTTCCAGAACATTATTTTTACTGTGAATCATTTAGGGTAGTCTTAAGAATTTTTAAATTATCTAATTTGATTGAAGGTCAACCAATACAGCTACAACCTATACCCCCAGTTTGACTGAAGAATGCAATAAATTGACTTCTCAAAATGTATTGTTTAATTAAAGCATTGATACTGGTGATACTGTACTATTTGTGGCATTAGTGTATATTATGGCACTGTATAGGTGTCAGTGCCATACCATATAGACTGATTCTCATTTTGTTCAAATCTTAATCCTAAAATTTATTTATAGTCAACAAAATGCAGTATTATAAAATTTAAACATCAATCTTCGTGGTACTGACATCATACTATGAACTATGCAATCCAGCCATATGCTGCTTCCCCCACCAACACAGCAGCTTGAGCCACATAATCACTGGTTAATGAGCAGGGACAGTAGAAATAGTCAGAGAACAGCACAAAATTTATATCGAAAAATATTTGTGCGCACCCAGACATTTATTTCACCCCATGAAGTACAGTCAAAAAGCCCAAGGCTGAATTGATTCAATCTTCTCAGGTTAGTTTAAACTGCGTAGATTGAACCAATAAGTAAGTGAACAGACATTCACTTTTGATTCCAGAAAGGCAGACACATTCCTGCAGTGGCCCAGGCCAGAAGCTGGGGGGTGCGAGAGCCCACCTCCTGGCTCTGCTGGAGCAGACAGCTTGAATCTGGAGGGGATCTGGGACAGAAGTTGAATACACTGATTTAACCTAAATCAGTTAAGTCCGATACTACATCCATCCAGGTTTGTTCTAAACTGGTTTTCAGCCATTTTGCAAGTGGTTTATGTGTACTGAACTTCTAGGGAAGAAGTTACACATAAACCGGTTTAAGTGATCAGAAACTGGTTTAAACCTGTAACAGAACAGAAACTCATTTCACATAAACCAGTTTCAAAATGACTGAAACTGGTTTAAGATAAAGCTGGCTGAATGTAGTATCAGACTTAACTGATTTGGGTCAAACTAGTTTATGAAACTTCTGCCCCACACCCCTTCCTTGTTCAAGTTAAATCACAGTCTGCCAGCATCCCAGCATGCTTTGCAGCCCTGGCATGGGCTGTGCTGTCTGCTTCAGAGAGCAGGGCTGGCCCTGCCCCTCTGCTCCCTAGTAGGAGCAGTGAGGGCTGTCTGACAAGGGGGTGGGGAGGGCTAGCCCGGATAAGGAAGAGACTGCCCCACCTCCTCCCCTTGGCAAACCCCGCCTAGGGTCTGGGGCCAGAGTGGGGCTTAAACACCCCTTCCCCTGCTCAAATTTACTGCTAGCTGTGACTGTGGACTACAAATCCCAGAGGCACCTGGAAGCAGGAAGAGGAAGTGATGAGGAACCCTGCAGAGGCCTGCTGTTGTGATTCTGGACTGCAAATCCCAAAGACCTCAGGGGCAGCAGGAAGAGGAAGCGAACAGACAGCCCATGTTGGCTATATGCCAGACTAGCTTCTGGCCTGAGCTACTGCAAGCACATGGCTGCATTTCCTGAATTAAAGGTAAATGTCTGTTCACTTCTGTTTCAATTTAATTTCTGCATCTTAGACTAACCTGCAAAGACTGAATCAATTCAGCATTGGGCATTTTGACTGCCTGTACTTAGCCATGTTGTGTTACAGATTTGAAACAGTTTCCAATGTGTAATTATACCTGTTTATGAGTAATATCTTTCCTTAGCCATGAGGTCAATGTGCTTGAAGTTCCTGATGAACCAGGACCTAAATTCCTATGTAAGAATTACAGAAGGCAACGAAATAGCAGAAAGAGGGAGGAAAG